TAGTTCTCTCCAACCTAGCAAGCTCGTTGATGCTCAAAGTCACAAGCTCCTTCTCTTTGTTGCTTCTGGTTCTGCGATTAGGCATACACCTGAAACAGGAACAAAGAAAAGTAGCTGAAAATCAGTAAACAAATAAAAACTTAGACAAAATCCTAATACTAAAATTCGATAGGCAGCTATTACTCCCCGGCAACGGCGCCAAAAACTTGATAGGGTCAGGTTTTACCCAAATAAAACTACTGCAAGTGCACAGCAAAAGCAGTTGTAGTACAAGGGGTTATCGAATCCCAAGGGAGTGAGTAAACTACACTAAAGAGTTCAGGTTCGGATTAAGCTAAGCGATAAGTAATGAATGTAATGCGAAACAGTAAAATAAATGCAAGAGGGCGTTTTTATGCTTGTTCTTAAAGTTCAGAAAGCTAAAGGTGCTAAGTCGGGACAGTTCGCAGGTTGAATCTGAGAGTGTAGAATGCATGCAATCAGGAATGAATTAAAACCGTCTTGAACATGAATCGCAAAGATATAACTAATCAATTCTCATTGCAGAAGTTATCTATGTCTAAATCACAGAGTTTCAAATCTCTTTGCAAACCCTAACAACCTAAACATGCAGTAATGATCAGGTTCAATTGTTCACAAAACTCCTAAGCCAAATCTCTTTGTACTAGGGCGTTTTGCTCATCTAATACTAGTTCAGGTGATTAATAATGCTCTCACATCTATCAAACAACCTAGGGTTTCGAAATCCAGATGATGTGTCTAAGAAATCGATATGAATGCAAGCACAGATGAAGAACCACTGAATTTCCTAAAAGTTTTTAGCAATTCTACAAACTCTTCTTCAACCTTTGAAAAGCCCTAACTTAACTAACAAACTACTCAGACATGGTGATTTGAGAAAACATCATGAAAAGAATAGATTGCATAAAAGAAATAAGAAGTAGAAATAAAGGAGTTCAAAATCTGCTCTGAAGGAGTCTGATTTGTCTCTCCAAAAGCTCTTCTACAAATCTCTCTCTAAAGCTCTTAAAAATAATAAGATACAAGATCTCTGCCAAAATAATGGCTGAAAAACCTAATATACAAGCTAAAACACGATTTGGGGCCTTTTTGTAAAAACTGAAACTTCTGGGCCAAAACTGCAATTTCTTCCCAATCTTTTTAAAACAGGCCACGACCCCTTCCTTTCTAGGTGACGAGCGTCACCCATATGCATACTTTCCTTCCCGAGTTGGATACTTCGTGGCTTCAACTTGCAATGCTCCAAAAAGCTCCAATATCTTCAGTTATGCTCCAGACATGCTATAACCTGCAAAAACTCTTCTAGGACTCTAAAAAGACCAAAAAGACTCAATAAAAAGGACTTATATCATGGTTAAAAACCATAAAAACCATGATATATCAAGAACTAGCACCATTGAAGTAATTCATTTGAAAAGCACCTTTGCAAGAAGCTTAAACCCCCGATTTTAAAACCTCTCTTCCATCTTGAATTTTGTTTGCTTGAGGGCAAGCAAAAGGCAAGTTTGGGGGAGTTGATATTACTGTATATTTCGTGTATTTTGCATGCATTTAAGGTTGTTTCTCATGTATTCACCTTGCATATTAGGCTAGTTTGCACCATTTTAGGTCCTAGAGAAATTTTGTATTAGTATTCGCATGTTTCTTGCATTATGCATCATATTCATGTCGTTTTTGAGTACTTTGGAGCATTGGAGGATTCGTGGACGTGCTAAGGCTCGTGAGGAAGCTCGTGGATACCTGGAAAACTCAGAAGTGCATGCTAAGGACCCGAGATCGAGTAGCAGATCGAGCAAGGCAGGTCGATCTAGACGAGATCGACCAGAAGATCGAGTGACCAAGTCGATGCGAGGAAACAGATCGAGACCAAGATCGAGTGATGAGATTGATCTGAAGTACGGACGTAAATGACGCCATGCAGATTGAGCACCAGATCGAGCGTCCAACCCGATCAGCACAAGATCGACTCAAAGATCGACCAAAGCCATCCGATCCAAGACGAAGATCGAGAGCCAGATCGAGCTTCCTACTCGATCCCAAGCTACTTTAACCATTTTTGGCTTCTAGCGAAGGGGGGGACCATCGAGCTGTTTGTCCATTATGGGAAGGCGGCGATCCTGCTTTCACACACACTTTTCACTCTTACTTTTTTCGTTCTTCTTTCTCCTGCCTAGGCGATTCCGCCGTTGTAGAACTTTTGAGCTTTTTCTTGCATTTGAATCTTTAAGTATCGAATCTTTTGCTTTAATCAATCGTTAATCATGTTTAGTAGATCATCTATTGTGTTTTGCTCAGTTTTCTTTATGTGGAGCGAGTAGTTTCATTTGCGTTGACGGGTTGAGGTGATTCGAAAGGGTCAAAAAGGTTAAAGCTTTGAGTTGTCTTGTTCTTCATTACTTTCTCTTCTAGGATCTTGAGTACTTAAGGCTTAGAGACTCTCACGCCAAGATCTCTATGATCCAAAGGCTGTCTTACCTTGACAGGATTCAGATGTCCTGAAAAATCAGATCCTAGAGGCTAATCCTTCCTTTCCCACACGCCATCGTTGTTTAGGGGATTAGTTAAGTCATTTGTTTGAAATCTGTGTCCCATGCTCTTCGATCTCTTTTTCCACCAAACGCCATGGGTTTGGAGAAGAGATTGAGGAAGTGATCCATACCACACGCCATGGATGGATCTTGTTTTGTTTTCAAGGCTAAGAGAACCTCTTAAAAGAGTAGATCTAACGTTTTCAAACCAAGCTTTAATCTTTGAGACTCACGAATATGACCCTCAACCCTAGACCCTCTCTTTTAGTGTTTTAAACCTTCGTTTATCATTCTGTCATCATAAAGTTTGCATCTTGTTCATCACTTCATCGCATCATTCATCATCTTAGGTTGTTAGACGAGATCGATTCATTTTGCTCGATCTAGTGGTCGATCCAGTGGTCGATTCAGTAGTTGATTTTTAGTTTTTAGTAGCTTTGCACTTTAGACTTTCAGCTTGTTCCTCGTGGTAGTTAACCCTCTTCCAGGGATTTTAAAATGGTTTTGCTTTGCATTTGACACTTGCATTTAGTTTTTAGGGATTTTACCAATCATTTTCATAATCTGCTTAGCTTTGCTCATCCTTTGCATTCTTAGTGTACTTCCTGCTCCTAGGATTGGATTGATACCTCTTGCATACAACAACTGTGTGTTGCTTGAGTTTTGATAACCTCTCCTGCACTGCTTAGTAAAAATATTGTTATCATGATTAGAAAAGGGATTAATGCCAAGAGATTGGATTAGTCTTTATTAGTGTTACTTACCTAAGGTTGAGTGTTTAGATATGCTTGTTTTGATCACCCTAGACATGAACATGAATCACCCTATCACCATTGCCTTGATCTTGAACCATCTTTTAATCTTTGAAGTCTAGTTTTTACTCTGTTTAGTTTAGCTTTTACTCTGTTTGTGCTCTGTTTTTCTTTGCTATTACTGCTATTTGCTTGCTTTCTTTCGCTTCTTTGCTTGATCACTTAGATTGTTAGACTTCTTAAACTATCTATGTTTGCTTGAATTAAGAGCTCTATTGCATTCTTACTGCTTCATTCTCCCCTTTTGGATTGATAAAACTATATGTTATACTACAACTGATTAGTTGTGGGGAGCTATTTTCTTGATTGAAAAATAAAGAATGTGTAAAATGGAGCAGTCCTTTCTTATTGTGTAAATTTTTATTTCTGTAATTGAGGATACAACCCTTTTTCTGTAATTATGAAACCTAAAAATATATGTTATTTGGAGAAAATATGATTTAAAAAGAAAAATAGACCAGAAAATATGGTTACAAAGTTGAGGTGGTGAGAAGAAATTTAAGTTGCTGTAATGTGGGAAATATAAAACTATTTCATAGTATAAGATTTGTTGTCCCATTTGATGCTGTTGATTGTGGCTGTGCACATGTTTGAAGATTTCTTGAGAAAAATACATGGTTAATTGGTGGTGTCCGAAATTAGAGGAGAACCATATTTTTAATTAAACGTTGGACTCATAACAATCTAATGGAAATCTATACTATAATTTCTAAGTAATAAGCTAAGGTGGACATAGTATTGGCAAAGGTAAACTTTATGAGGATTTCTCAATTTGCAGCGAACCATAACTTAAAACCAAAGTTCATAACTTCTGTAGTTACCATTTAGTGAAGCTGGAAATTTGCAAAGAGACCACTTAAAGTGAACCTCCCTAGATTTTTTGTTCACCATCTGATTGAAAACATCTAACCAACTTACCTCATTATTGGGATGAATGTGTAGCTTTCCAATACACTGGTAAAGAGAACGAACCGAAGCAAACATCTCTCAAGTGTGGGTTGTTGATTCTGAGATTTTTGTCTCCATCTTCAATAACACCTTTTAATATCGTCGCTGCGAACAATTTTAAAAACATTAGCGTTAACAGAACAATAGTTGAACAATAAGATCCGATATACACATTGCGATAATTTCAGTTCCCAATTTTATCATCTGAGAAGAAAGCAAAACCCTTACGTTCATGTTACTCTGAGCGAAATAGCTCCCTTGTAAAACGGAGAATCGAAAGCCCAAACCCCTTAATGTGGAGCCTTTTTTTGTCTTTCACAGGCACTGAATTGTGAAGCATAGGCACTGAATTGAGGTTTTCAAGCAGCACCGGAGTTTATCTGTAAATTTAAATGGGTCCGTCCGTTTGCCGGAGAAGCTGCAGTATGTGAAGATGAAAACTTTGATTATTTGCAAAAGAGAGTGAGGGAGGTATGATTCAATTAACCAAAATCAAAGGGTTTTGAATCACTGAACAATTACCTAAAGCTGATTTCTTAGATCCGGAGATGCGCCGGAGCTTCAGGAATGCGAAGGGGAGGTTACTGGTGGCGAGTTGAATCAGAGGGTTTTGAGGTTTTTTTGGGTTCCGGAAGATGATGGTGTTTGGTTATTTTCACCTGGAAAAGCAGAGATTTAATCGTAGAAGAAGATGATGGTGTTAGGATCTATGGTTCCCTGTTATTGGAATGAAGCTTAGGATTTGATCGGAAGAGAGACGGCGTCGGTAGCATCGGATTTTTTTAGATTTCTCTTAATAATATAAGATATGAAGACACGTGGCGCTCTCTCCAGTGCTGATATGGCAGTCAGCTGGAGAGAGTTAGCCTTCTTTTATATTATAAATTAATGACGACATGGAAATGTGACATGACCAATTTTCTAAAATAAACGAAATATTTTGATTGGTTAAGTTAAAACTAAATAAATATAAAAAAAATTATATCATATGTGAATGCATTATTATTATATAGCAATAATTTGAAATTATAAATAAAACACAAAAAATAAACTGATAGATAAATAAATTATAAATATCCTCATAGCAAACTTTTTTTTATAATACTGTATATATGAATAAGAAGTAGAAGTATAAGTAAAAATGAATCTTTACGACTTTGAATTTTTGTAAATTCGCAGGCTATATATTTGGTATAAGCCATCTGCAATCCACCTTTATTTTAAATCTTTTAATGAAGAAAAATAGAGATGTTATTCTTTCCTCTATAGTTTAGGAAAAAATAACAATCTTTCGTTTTTCTGTAAAATAGAAATAGATCGGAGAGAAATCTACCTGTATTTTAGAGAAAAAAAAATAGAAAATTACATTGAAGAAGATCTTAATGTTTAATATATTATTCAAAGTTAAGAAAAAAAAATGAGTCATAGAAGACAAAAAAAGAAAGAATAATAAGTTTGATCAATTTTATGTTTTTATTTAAAATATTTAAAAATATTATCTTACACATATTAATTCCTTCATGCAAATATTTTTTCAATATATTAAAATATTATTTCATGAATCAAGTTATGTATATGTTGTGATCCATTATATTTTATATTAACAAATATATCAAAGTTAAGAGCAGATTAACTTTTAATTTCTAATATAACAGTCAAATATTAGATATATTATTTTACACTTTAAATCATATACATATAAGTTTAGATCTGACTGGTATAAATATTGCAGTTATAGAGAGTTTGTGCAAGCGAGTGATTGCAGACGATATAAAATTTGACGAAGAGATGAGCGGAAAGCTCACAAATTTTATAATATATGTTTATTATTTTTTTTATTCAGAAACCATATATCATAAGACGCTGAAAATAAGAAATTTTGATTAAATACAAAACGATAGAAACGATTTTCGTGATTGCTGTTAAACGCCAAAACCTGCATCGTGTAAAAACATAACGTTTGCAGAAAATATCAGAAAAACTAACCAACACATAAATATTACAATTTACTTATTTCTAACTCATACTCACATGCATAAATATAGATATTATGTTTTTAAAAAATTTCAACTATACATTATAAAAATATATATTATAAAACATATACTTAGTTATTTTCTTTTAACACACAAAAATCATATTTTGATTTTTTTACAAATATGCATGTAGATATAAATATTAATTGTGCAAAAGTCAAAATCGCATACAAACTCGCTGTACATACAATTTGTTAACTTTGGTTACAGTCTAATTTTAATTTTAGTTATTAGATAATTTATATTTTTTAAAAAAATTCTATATAATCAACCATCTACCCGCTCTTAGGATAAGTAAAAATGATAAAACCCATTTGGTTTAATTATTAATAAATCAAAGAAAAATATATATTTAAAAATATATATATATATATATAGATAATATCATATTGTGTAAGGAAAAAAAACATAGTATAAATAATATTCAAAACATATTATAAGAATTTAATTATTATTTATATAACTTTTATATTTGTAAATATTGTAAACACTAAAAAAACAAAAAAATTTCAAAAGATACAAAATGATATGAAATGTGTGTGTGTAATTGTTGTTAAAAACTAAAAATATATATGTATAAAAACATAATATTTACATATTGTATAAGAAAATTAATTAATATTTTAATATTACAACTAATTGTGTTTATAAAAAATGATACTAGTATATGCGTACGGAATAAAAATAAAAATAAATAAATTATTATATATTGTAATGTTTGTAAGTTTATTAGTTATTTTATTTTTATTTTTTATCTAAAAAAGTATTTTAAATTTTAGTTAATGTTTTTTATTTTATTTTTTTAAATTTTATAATATTTTTTATTTAATTTATCGTTATTTTTATTATTAAATATATTATTTTTATTATTATTATTATTAATGCATAATTAATTATATATAAATAAAATATTTTTAATATATTATATTAAATATATAAAATAATTTATAGTCTGTATATATATAGTATTGACCGATCATCTGGTACAGATTTAAAAAACTAAAGAAAGAAACTCCCCAAAGAACTTTGAACCGAATTTAAACCGGAATATAATCAATCTAATAAACCGCTTGTCCTAACGTAAGGGGAAAAACAAAAAAAAATTCAAGATTTCAATCAGTCTCCCACCAAAGGTCGTCAAGTCTCAACCGCATCTTCTTCTCCTTCTTCTCTCTCAGTTGTGTTTTTATTAGACGTCACCGGCGTATATGGCGGAAATAGGATCACGATCGCGACGAACGGAGGTTTGTCGATCTCTGTCTTCTCTTTCGTTTGGTTTTCGTATTGTTTGTTTAAATTAGGTTTTTTTCTTCCTATTTTTGGGGATAAATGTGCAGATCAATTGGACTACGATATGCTGCTCAGCTTTCTCCTGTATCCATATCTACTGGGCACGTCTTGTCCTCCGCAAATGGTTCAACGTTTCTTCGACTGAATCAGATTATAGCGCCGATACTGACGACGAGAGATTCACCGTTTCCGGCGATCAAGGTCAGCCACACTCTGATTCTCCGGGAACAAATTAGTCTTTTAGTTAGATTTCTCCAAAACTATTTTGTGACTGAATCTGAAATTGGTGTAGCGGAATTTGACCCACGTAGCTCTGGAGTAACGAAAGATGTTGATACTGATGGTAATGTGATTCGATGCCTCTCACCTCACAAAATTCAGTGATAGCGTTGTGCAATGGAGGAAGATTATCGTCTACAAATGAATCAAGATTCAGGATTCTTCTCCTAATTGTTTATACTTTAACTAATCTCAGATTGCCCTAAGATTAGAAGACGAAATTCGGAAACTTTCAGGGTTCAGTATATGGACACCAAAGCAGTCAGGTCTTTGATTTCTCTGGCTTTATCTTGAATCCTCGATGTTTTCTTGCAGATTGTTCATGTTTCTGCTATATTTGTTGGGCATTGCTTTTAAGATGTTCTACTGTTTTCATCTGTGCAAAAAACAGTTTCTCTTGTTGCTTAACTTCACACGTAGTGAGTCCCTGGTGTTATGTGGTTTTTATGTAGCCAGAATCTGTGCCGGGACATGGAATGTTGCAGGAATAGTTCCACCTGCTGATTTGGATATCGATGGTTGGCTAGACACGCTTGAACCTGCGGACATTTATGTTCTTGGGTAATGTTATTTCTCTGAATCTTTCAGTTTTAACTACCATGGTGATGGTTTCTGTATTCAGATGCGTTTTTGCGGTTCGTTTTCATTTTCAGTCTTCAGGAAATCGTTCCTTTGAATGCCGTAAACATTTTTGGTATTGAGAATGATCAGCCTGCTTCCGAATGGGAGAACATTATACGTGATGCCTTAAATCGAGTTCGACCTAGAAAGATAAAGATTGTAAGTCACAGTGATCCTCCCTCTCCGTCAAAGTTTAAGTCATCCAAAGAGGTCTCTTACAACGTACAAGATATGTTTGCTGAAACCAGTCATGGTGATAAGAAACCAAACTCTGGTGAAAGCATTGACAGACCAAGCGTAGGTGAAGATTCGCTTACTGATATAGACATCTTGGGTTCTAGCATTGACAATGCATCACCAAATACGCAAGACCGGTCTCTCTCGATGCAAATTAATAGTGATTCCCTAAGGGAAGAAAGGTTTAGTTACAGTGGAAGAGTTGGTTTGAGCTGGCCTGGGCCTCCGTTAAAGCTGCTAAATCAATATATTTTGGAAAGAAGTGGCTCCTTCAAGCCAGTGAATCTGACAATCAAGAATCTGAGAAAACCATTGTATGTACGGATCGTGAGTAAACAGATGGTTGGTGTGTTTCTCACCATCTGGGTTCGGAGGAGCTTGCGCAAGCACATAAGCAACCTTTGTGTGTCTACTGTTGGTGTTGGTATTATGGGCTACATTGGTAACAAGGTCTTGATCTCTCTTATCAGTTGCTTAAAATAGTTGTCCTTAGGCTAACTAGCAATATCTTACGATCTCTTGTGGTGTTATAGGGGTCTGTATCTGTGAGCATGTCAATCTATCAAACACCGTTTTGTTTCTTGTGCACGCATCTGTCATCAGGGGAAAAAGATACAGATCACCAGAAAAGAAACGATGATGTACGTGAAATTCACAGAAGAACGCAGTTTCTTCCATCAGATTCTTTAAATGCCAATGAGCTTCCAAGAAGCATCCGTGATCATGAGTACGTTTTTATATCTCAGTTGATCTATTCCACCACAAATTTTTCTTGATTTATAAACATAACTTCTGTAGAAGAATAATCTGGCTGGGAGATCTGAACTATCGGATTAACTTGTCGTATGAAAAAACACACGAGCTCATTGCAAGAAAAGAATGGCAGAAGTTGTTAGAAAGTGACCAGGTACCTTTACTGCATTGTCTTGGTTTAATACTAAATCACAAAGTCCTAACGTTTAATGTTTTTAAAAAGTTAAATATGAAGCATGTCTCGTTCTTTTGGTAGCTTTCAAGAGAAATGACAAAAGGGAATGTATTTGAAGGATGGTCAGAAGGAACTTTAGATTTCCCACCAACATACAAATACGAAATCAATTCAGAAAACTACATCGGAGATGAACAGGAATCAGGAAAACGTAAACCGGCCTGGTATTGTCTTTGTCTTCACACTCTCTGGCTACAACATTATTCCTGTAATAAGCATACAAATCGGTCAGTTTAAAAGTGTATGTGATTGATCAGGTGTGACCGCATCATTTGGAATGGAAAAGGAATAAAGCTTCTTAGTTACGTAAGGAAAGAGATTAAACTGTCGGATCACCGGCCTGTCACCGCCACGTTCTTGGCAGAGGTTGAGGTTTTGTCTCCACGGAAACTTCAGCGTGCGCTTGCCCTCACTTATGCGGAGCTCCAAAGCCAAGAAGCTTTTACAGTCGCTTAAGTAAACCATCTCAGGTCGGATTCATTTGTACAAACTCCGTTTTGTGTAGAGAATAACACATTTATTTGCAATTCGTATATTCTATTCTCATTAGAGGAATGTATAGTAGTGTGCATGTTTAATTTAAAGATAAAATACAGACGGAGAACGAAGACCGTATTTCATGTAGATATATACATTTCATTTTGCTTCATCTTTATTATAATAACAAGTTATTAGAAATTTAGTATTGATGTGTTACTTGTAAAATATCGATTAATTTAACTATTGTGGAGTGATCTCCATATCTCACATTATATAGAGAAAATATTGAAAGCGATGTATACAAAATGGTGTATCTTGGAACGAGTATACCAAAGTTCCATATGGGGAACATAAGTATTAAGAGGAAGCAAAATTGTAGAAATCAATGGTTACTTCAGAGACAAAGTGACTAACGTGGATAGTTGAGTAAGTTACGCTATTATGTAAGAGATGTATTTTTTTTTTTTTTTTTTTTTTTGAGAACGGGCCTATTATGTAAGAGATGTTAAATAAAACTGTATAAAAGATTTAGACTCACATCTATGAAACGAAAAAATATAAATTTGGAATATACAAGAGAAAGGGAGGAAACAAGAAATTAACAACTCACGTCTAGCTAAATGTAGTTTTAATATACTCTTTCCAAACTCAATACCTAATAAACAAAAAAAAAGTAATTAGGAGTAAAATACTTTTTTATTTTTTTATTGCTCCAAGTGAAATACTCTTTCCAAACTCAATATTTTATAAACAAGAAAAATTTAGGATGAAATTGACGATGGTAAATCATGTACAAAAAAAAAAAAAAAAATTTAGGATTACAAATCTTTCTGAACTCAAAATCTTATACTTTTTACTCCTATTTACTTATTTTAAGTTCAAAATCCATACTTTTCTTGATAGATTTAGTACTTGTTAAGAGAGAATCCACAGTATAACTTATAAAAGGCTTGATTTAATAAATACTTAAACCAAACTAAATTATAATTATTGTTAACACAAAAGATATGTCCATCTTAGCATAAAATAAATAATTTATCTGATTCTAGTCTCAAAAAATTTCATAACTGCACTAAATGTGTCCTCGTAGCAATCAACACCTATAACCTCGTTATATATTTATATATTCATATTAAAAATATAAGAAAGAACACTATAACTTAAGTGAAGTATGAATAGAAAATTGTAGTAATTTGTTTTGTTTTAAAGAACCATCGTGTTCTTGTCTTTGTTTTTGATCAACATTGATCGATTCCATAACTGAGACCTATCAGAGCAGTTCCTTTCTCTTGTTGATGGCATTTTTCAAGACCATAGATTTTTGGACTTCATTTTTCCAAATTAAATTATTGAGATTATTTGTGTTAATGTAGTGATATATTTAGTGGTCTTGAACACTTCCATGACATGATAATATCTCATATTAGTGGTTTTGAACACTTACATAACATAATAATATCTCATATTTCCTAAGTACCATTATAACAAAGTTGCTGGTGATAAAGGATTGTTAGTGTTCATTAGGAACATTGTGTCTCGCTTTTGAGAAATAAATTCTTTCAAATGTAGCACTCAATACTAAAATATATAATAAGAACTTAAAATAAAAAGTCGGACAACCTTTTTATTTTGGGCATAGCCGGATAGTCAGGAATACTGTCAAACGGTGGTGAAAGAACGATGTCTTCTTCATCAGAGGACATCGTTTCCACTGGATTGTCTTCACCACTAACAGATTCGTCATGAGCAACCAGTTGTGAGCTAGAGGGCACTCACTCTTTGTTCTAAAAAAAAAAAAATTGTAGCACTCAAGGTTTGTTTTCAACTTTGACACTTGCATATTTTGACTTTCATACGAATTTAAAAGTAATTTAAAATTCTTTGATATTTTAGTAAACAATGGGATTGGACAAATACGAGTTTAATAACTATTTTTTTCTCGTTTTCCAAGGTTGCTAACTGAAATCTATGAGATAATGTTTATGCATGTTTTTATTATGATTTTATAAAGTAATTACGATTTGAAAAAATATTTTACATATATGATAATTATGAGTTTAATAGGCCGATTATAAATAGTTAAGCAATTAAATAAGTATTTCAACTAACAATATTAGAAAAATATAGTAATAATATAAAATCATAAAGTTATTAAATGGATAATGATTATCTATTTAATTTTATCTTTATACATTAGCATATTAAAGGATAATGTTTATCCATATGTTTTTATTTTGTACATTAGTTTACTTTACTATGAAATAATGTTTTCCTATTAATATTTGACTTCATTTTTTTGTAAAATTATAAGTTCAGAAAAAGAAAGAAATGAAGTTCTTATGTTCATCTTTCTCTTTCTTTCTCTGAAGTACATATTTCTTAAACTCTTCTTTGTTTTCATATAAAACACTAGTTTATAACATGTTATCAACAGGAACGTCTCTCGATCCATATCCGGAAGATAGATCTGTATCTGTGAGGTAAGATTTATTTGAGTTAAATTTCTTTTAAATTTTATGATTTACGGAAAGATAGGATCTGCCTTCTCCGTTTATACAATGTCGGGATGCTAGACTATGCCTCCTCTGAGCTGATCGTTATAGTAGGCGCTGTCTCCACGATCAAAATAATTTTATTGTTTATTATGCCAGGATGGTAGGCTCTGTCTCCTCCGAGCTGATTGTTATGGCAGGCTCTGCCTCCACAAATAAAAAATGATCACATGGCAGACTATGTCACCTGAAATCACATTTATTTATTTATTGTGTGAGATATTAAAATCTCCATCTTTGTTCATTTATTTATTATGCAATCAGCAATTGTATGGTATGCTCTGCCTCCTCATATTGCTTTTAATTATTGTCTTTTATTATGCCATTACCATGCTCGAGTTTTTATAACTAAATTTTCCTGAAATTAAATGGGTTAAATTGTTGTTATTCAGAAATAATGTCAAATTTGTCAAAGGTCGTGATCGCTGCCCTTGATTTATGTGGAAAAAATTATATATCTTGGGCGGTAGGTACAAGATTGCATCTAAAGATAAATGATCTCTTGAGCACTATCGATATCCTTCACGAGTAAACATCCTGAAGATCTTGGGAAATAAGTGGTTGAATCTCCTGGCAAGAGAATTCACCCAAAGCTCGGAGTTGATGAAAATCATCCTGGTAGCTTAACAATAAAATGAATTTGTGATGAGAAACCATCAGTTTCGTACAACTGAATTAACTCCATTCCTATGAGAGAATGTTGAGTAGTCCACTTACAGTCAGTGTGATGGACGAGATAAATAAAAGAAAAGGATGATGGTTGGGACGTTAAAAGACAAGGTGAAATCGCCTGCTATAGATGTGGCATGAAAAGTCATTGGGTACGCATGTGTTGTCACCAAAACACTTAGCCGATCTATATGCTGAATTACAAAAGATCTGAATAACATAACTTAATTTGGCTTTTGGTATATATGATAATAATAAGTCTATCATTCAGTTTTTGATAATAACCTTTTTATAAGTTGATGTTTTTGGTTAATGCATTTCTTATGAGTATTGTGGCCCAGAATATATCACAATTTGAGATTTTGGATGAAGATACTTGTCTAGCAGACAGTGCTACGACACATACAAAACTTAAAGATAAAAGGTATTTCTCCTCTCTCAAATTGAAATTTTTCACTGGAAGCATGAGTACTATAACTGGTATAGCAAAGATTATACTAGGCTCCGGAAGAGCGAGTTTATCACTGCCACGGGGTATAGAGTTTGTAGTGCAAGATGTATTATACTCCCCCGAATCTTAACAGAACTTATTAAGTTTTTGAGATATCCGCAAAAATGGATATCATATTGAGACTATTAATAAGAATGGCTCTGAATATCTTTGCATTACAACAAAGAGTAAATATCAGTTGGAAGAGTTACCAATGATGTCCTCTGGATTATATTGCACAAAGATAACCATGGCTAAATCACATGTTGCGGTAAACCAGAAGTTTACCAGTACTTTCAGAGTGTGGCATGAAAGGTTAGGCCACCCTGGTTCAGTCATAATGAGAAGAATTATGCAAAATTTGAGTGGCCACCCATTGAAAAACTAAAAGATTTTTGAATCGGGAGAGTTTTCATGTAAGGCATGTTCTCAAGAAAAACTCATAAGTAGGCCCTCGCCAGCCAAAGTTAGGAATGAATCCCATATATTCTTAGAGAGAATACATAGTGATATATGTAAGCCAATTAACCCATCGTGCAGGCCATTTAGAAATTTTATGGTATTGATTGATGCATCTAGTAGATGGTCACATGTGTATTTTTTGACCACAGGGAATATGGCTTTCGCAAGATTCATTGCCCAAATAATCAGGTTGAGAGCGCATTTCTCTGATTATGCCATAAATAAAGTCAGGCTTGATAATGCTGGTGAATTCACTTCAGCAATCTTTAATGACTATTGTATGTCCTTGGGAATTGATGTTGAGCCTCCGGTTCCGCCTGTTCATACACAAAATGACATGGCTGAATCATTGATTAAGCGGTTGCAATTAATTGCAAGACCATTAATCTTGAGAACAAAGCTTCCAATCACTGTGTGGGGACATGATATATTGCATGATGGGGCATTGGTCCAGGTAAGACAACGTGTGTATAATGAATATCCCCCCCATACAGTTAGCATTTGGCCAGAAGCCAGATATATCCCATCTTCGTGTGTTTGGGTGTGTGGTCTATGTCCCTATAGCGCCACCTCAAAGAACAAAAATAGGACCACAAAGAAGGTTAGGAATAAATATCGGGTATTCGTCACCAAATATAAATAGGTATCTTGAACCGGCAACTAGTGATATGTTCACGACACAATTTGCTGATTGCAACTTTGATGAAAGTGAATTCTCTGCGTTAGGGGGAGAACTGAGAGAATCACCAAATGATATCACATGGTGTACAAAAACTTTGGCTTATCCTGATCCTCCTATAAAC